GACCAACAAAGCACCAACAAACCCTGGACCCCTCCAGAATGCAGCAGCCCCACCCCGCGCCAGAAAAGATGGAGACTGCTGCCATCAAACAACCAAAACGCTAAAACCGAAGGAGCAAGAAAACACAGCGAACCGACCCCCAGAGGCAAAGGCCCAAAGGAAAGAGCCGACGAAAAAACACACCGGAACCGAAGGGGCACTACCAACCGAGGAGAAGACAGAGCACGCTGACCAGAGACCAGGATGGTGCAAGCGGCGCACGAACAGGCCGGAGGTGAAATGACGCACAAGACAGCTGACTAACGGTGCAGAAGCAACACCAAGACCGAAAGCAAGCTGAAGCGGCTCCGCCTGCGCCGCACGAAAAGAGGCGACAGTATGTGGCAAGACGACGGCCCCCAACCCCCACTAGAAAACCAAGCCGAGAGTAAACCAAGCCAACAAGAAGGACCCACCGAAGAAGGGACAGGAAAAGGAAGGACCGCCAAAATACCCCATACTGCCGCCAAGAAGCACGCAGGTGGGACACCTACCACGAAGCCACCCGACCACCAACCGGAGGCGAGACCACGAGGCAGAACATAAGCAGCCCCGACAAGGCCCCCCGAGCCCAGGAAAAAGGCGGAGCCGCGAGAAGATCTCGGGCGCGACCACCGAAACCCAGGCGGCACAAGGAGATGGAACGTCTGCCGAACAGAAAAACTCCGAAGCATGCAAGCCCGCCAGGAGTTCAGAAACGACGGGTCCGACGCGAGACATCGCAAGAACCCACCCAAAAAAAATAAAACAACAACAACAACCGGCAGGGCAAGCTAGGAAAACCAAAGAAGGCGGAAGGGTCGCCGCCAGAACAGGACCCGAACCAAGGGGCACGAACAACTGCAACAGACCGAGACAAAGAAGCACATCACAGGACACAGGCTGACCAACGCCTAAGAACACACGCAGAACATTCCTGCTGCAGAAGAGGCAGGAAGAAAGAGCAGAAGCACAAAAAAAAAAAAAAAAACCAGGAGAACAACCAGGGGTGGACAATCAGGCAGGGACAAAAACCCCACGCAATCCCCAGGCACAAAACGGCAGCAAAGCGCCACTCCACAACCGGACACAGGAACAAGGACACGCCACCGTGAAACACGGTACCAATGCTCACGTGCAGCAGCAGCAGCAACAGGCACCACTGCAACATGCAACATGTAAATAGCAACTCCCCTCTGCAAAGGCAGAGAACGGAGCAGGCAGACCCCAGACAGGGCCAACGGAGACACGACAAAACCCTGCAGGCCCAGAAACCTGCACCAGGCGACCGACGGCGGAGAAACCCCGCTCGATACCTGCTGGATGAGGTACTGGGAGCTCTTTTACACCTCAAGCCCGGCCCAAGGTCAGGCCAGACCGGCCAGAGGATGGCCCACCAGGCAGCTGCTAGGAGCAGTCCACCGGCCCACATACCCCCACAACCAGGACGGGCCGGAACTGCCATACGAAAACAGGCCAGTGCGCCCTGGAAGTCCACGGACGAACCAGCAAGAAGGCTTATGCTCGCAAGTAGGTCGTGTAACAAGCACAGACCACTGATGGTAATACAGTGTTCCCCAAAAGTGCCAATAGCACCACTGCACTCCACTGGTACTATCCCGCAAGTACTACCAGATAGGCGGGACCCAAGAGCCAGAGCTCAAATCCTGCAAGCACAGCCAGGAGCCTCACCAGGTGAGTACAGAACCAACCCTACAACCCCCACACCTCACAACATTAAAAAAGGAGGGTCCCCTGAACGACTGTAGCATGGGTTGGACATGCACAGGAGGGGGACAGGAAGGGGTGATAAAGGGACAGTCACTGGTGTGCGAACGGTCTCAGTCGTACAAAATTATACCTAAATAAAGACAGGTATATGAACACCACCGCATCCAGCGCCCGGCCAAAAGACGCCAGACCGCAGAAACTCACCTGGCGAATGGTGGCTTGAACTTGACACGACTCAACCGTGCCCAGAAGAACTTGGGAGCACCGCCAGGTGAAGACGCCAGAGCCGGACCCGCAGGAGAACAGGGAGAGGCGAAGGAGGCGGTCCACACCCATGACACAGAAAACCGCGGTGTCCTCCCCACAACTGGGAACCAGGACACCCCTGGCGCAAAGGGGCACATACCGCAGCCAGGGAGAAGAACGAGAGGCGAAGCACTGTAGCAAAAAAGGGCGCAAAACCCCAGCACTGAACCATCGCCCAGACCAAAACAAACTCCACGGCGCATGCGCATAACACGCTGGCCGAACCGCACACCCTCCCTGCGGGAAGGCGCCAGCCAGGACTATTGCACGAGAAAAAGAGCCAAAAGAGGAAGCAGGAACAAGAAAACCGGCCAAAGAAGCAAAGAGCCCAAAAAAAGGGAACCCAAACGGGCGACAAGTAGCCCAAACGGGCGACAAGTAGCCCAAACGGCCGACAAGTAGCCCAACCGGGCGACAAGTAGCCCAACCGGGCGACAAGTAGCCCAACAGGGCGACAAGTAGCCCAACAGGGCGACAAGTAGCCCAACAGGGCGACAAGTAGCCCAACAGGGCGACAAGTAGCCCAACAGGGCGACAAGTACTAGGAGCCGACAGACGTTCCAATAATGCGGGAAGTAGCGAAAAACCTTCCCGTACCCTCGAGAACACAGAAGCCAACACTAGTCCCGAAGGCACACGAAGGCGCAGGCGCACCCGAGATCAAAAGTCACGCAGAACCCCATCGAACGGGGAAACATGACAAAAACACCGTCCCAAAAAGCGGGGGAGGAAACATCCACCCACAGGACGGAACCAACCGACTCAAAGGCCAAGGAACCGAGCCCGGGGAGGGGCCGACGTCCAACAGCACGTACGGCGAGTGGGGAGGAAAAACCCCACTCCGCGTAACCACAAGCCCCGCCTAGAGGGGGATAAAACCCCCCACGGGGTCTAACGGGGCCAAGGCCCCCCAAGTCAGCCCCTCCCCAGCCCCGGGAACCTACACGACAGGCCCCGGGGCCGAGCCGTTCCCCCAAAGCCCCGGCCGTACCAGAAAACCGGGGCAGCCGTGAAAACACTAAGGAAGGGAGCCCACTGGCAGACTCATACAACACGGCTGGAGGAACAGGCCCAAATGCCCCCGTCACTACCCCGGAAGGGGAATTCCCCGAGACTGCCCGAGTCTCAACACCACCAAACACCCCGCCCTGAACCTACAGACGGTAAGGAACCGGATGCAGGCAGGAAGGGTGAACCAGGGGAAAAACGAAATACAACGGGGCAGCCCCGGGGCTCCCGGGGAGGAAACCACGAGAACGTTGCCACCACCAAGGCTCAAGTGCAACGCCCCTGCTGCCCGCACCCGCTTTGTTAGCACAACTGGGTAACCGAGCCACAACGAGCAACCAAACTCGCAGGACACCGGGTCGAAGGTGTCACCGACCCCACAGGCAGCAGACGGAGGCAAAACAGAGAGTCACCCAGAGACAAAAGGTGAGAGCAACCCTCAAACTCGCTGGAAGCGAGGGGGGGGCTCTGGGGTCACATCCATCGGACCCGCGCGGCCCCCAGGGGTTTCCCAGGGTCCCGAGCGTTTACTTTAAGAGGACTCGCGCTCAGGTAATCCCAGGCAGGGTACTGCAAACCGGCACCCAAGCTACCAAACAACTTTCTAAGAGCTGAACCCCCGGGACGTGTACACTCACGGGGACCTAGCAGGGGGTACCACCAGAAATACTCAGAACACAAGGGACACAAGGGGCAAGAACGAAGGCAGACCCCCCACCAGGTATATAAACAAAAGAAAAAGAAAACCCCGCAAGAGGACAGCGTACCCAAGCGGAACAGAGCCGGCCGCTATGATTGGTAAAGACAAGCTGCACAGTACCCCGCGCCCCACCAGTGCAAACACTGCCCCTTACTCTAAGGCGAACAAGGGAGACAGAACACCCGAGCACACAAAGAGCGGCCGAAAACCAAGCGGTAAACGGCCAAGCAGGGGCAGGACCCAAGGAACGTGTGGAAGGTGGCCCCAAGCCCCAAGGGCAGTACTTACAGGGCACCTAGGGAAGGGAACCCTAGGCGCATGCAGCCCGAGTACTGAAGAATCACACCCGGCTCACGCACCACCTAGAAAACAGACACCACACTCTAGGTACAGTGCTGAAACAACCACTGGAGCCGGAGCACATAACCATTGCCTATAGCATCAGCCGAAGAACTGATGGGTGGATAGCCGGCGTGGGAGGTCTGGGGCTCCCCCTTCCCCCTCCCGGGGAGGGGGGAGCTGCGCAGACAGCGGCGCGGTGACGTATGACGTCATACTAGTTTCCGTGTTTTCTGTTGAAGAGTTCTATTCACTAGTTCGGCTTAGGTAGCAATTTTCACCAGAATAGGGGTTTGTTTTGGAATGCTTACCTTTCTGGATGCTTGACCCGGTCGATGGCAGACATAGAATGCTTCCAACCACACGGGGGTTTCTATAGGCCATTGCTCCCCTTGCCTCTCTGAGGGGGCCAGGTTCTGGCTCGTGGTCCCCGGTAGGCCCTAGAACTCCATACACATGACTGATGCCAAAGTCTGACATTAGCATATCAGCCGGTAAAGCTCCGGGGAGCCGACGGGGCTCCCCCCAGAAAATATTGTTGTGTATCACTCTGGAAAATATAATGAAAAGGTATGTATGATAACTTAAGTGCATCAAGTATGAAAAATGGATGAGGAAAATGTTTACTGTGCAAACTACAGGCAGAACCAAAGGACTACACACTGAAGAAAAACATGCAAGATGAGCAAAAACTTCACAGCTGGAAGACACTGCAGTATGGAGCGGTGTGTAAAAAGCATAGAAGAATTTCAGACTATTTCATCTTTTCCAAAGATAAATGATTAATCTTTCATGATAGTGGCATTGTGTAACTGGTGAAAATACTGCACATGTAAAGTTAAGGCTGTGATATACAAAATATTTACATTCAGTGGACACCATTCAACCTTCAACACACCTCAGGAAAAAATTCTTGAGGAAACTTGGCCTTCTCCTTGGTGCTGACATCTTCAATATTTCCTGAATATTCTCTTCTGTCTACACAATCAGTAAATTTCTTTTCTGAAACATTAAAGTCTAAATGAGTACAATAAGGACATTAATGCTTTCATACATCTACATCAACCTATTCTCGCATTTTTATTTTTGTATTCTTTTAAGGGGAAGAAACCCTCGTTAGTTCCCTAAGCCAGAGAACTGGAGCTGCCAAGTCCAAGAATTGCAACAAATCATTAAGATCCAGCTGAACCTATTGGAAGCCAGGGCCAGAATCCAACTCTCACGACAAGGCATGTCGGGAGATTAGGATTAGGGACAAGGCTTATGGATTGGATATCAAACCAAATCTGATGAAAAAACCTACCAGAAAAAAATATCAAAACAAGCAAATGCTTGTAGGATATTAGTCACACTGGGTAAACATTCCACATGTGCTTCTCACTAGATAGCAGCTTAAGTCACCCAGTGGCAATGATTATTTGCTGGTTTTCCTTAGGTTTACTAAGTTCTTTCAAGCAAATGCTTGTTTTTGGGTTGATCTCCTATATAAAGGCTCCCCTCATCTGTTTGAGAGACCTTTTCCTGGTCCAGGATCTCCTCTTGAGATCCAGAGGAGCTAATGGGGATCTTGGGAAGCTAATGGGTGGACCCCCCTAGACAAGGCCATTTCATTACATTCAATGTTTTATTATAGGGGAAGATGAGAAGAAATTGCAGCCTTAACATTCAGTTTACCCACCACTAAACTGCCCTCTCAGTAATTATTATTTCCAATTCACTTTTGTTTATTAAACGTCTGCCACTTTGTCTTTCCAATTTCTTTCTGCCACCTTTCCTATTGGTACAGAACAGTAGAAGTAATTCTTAATTTAATCCTTCACAAACACACACACACTTGTTTCTTATTGTCAGCCAACATTCATGTAATTCTCTGCCTAATGTGTTGGTAAGGTAAGGTAATTATCAGGAGAAAGTGCTAAGTCATTATGACTATACAATTTATTCAGTCTTTAAGCACTTAAAAGTATTTGAAATGCTAGAAGGTGATTCTACATGTGACCAACCCACCGAAAGAAGGAAAAATTCCCCAACAAAACAAGTTATTGGCATGGTATAGATGCACATTGTACATATCGTGTAACCATATGTTTATATAAAGGTGAGAATACCAAGCTTAATCAGTGGCTCTACCATTTCTAATGACAATTGTCTCATGAGAAAAATGATTGAACACTTTATAGCATTTACATCTAACTGATGAGGAATACATTAACATTTATGACACACTGTACAATATAAAGGTAATGAATAATCAATGGGCATAAAACAGACCTGCGAGGCAAATACATATATATACAGTAGAGTGGAACCTCAAACATCCAGACAATTGTTCTAGACCTCTTCAGAGTTTCACTAAATATTGCATTTTTATGGTTCTTTGGAAAGTTTTCATCACCAAAAATGATTGAACATATATTTGCAAGTTTATACACTGTACTCAAATAATATGTACAGTACATAGATTTTTTTTAGTGTAAAAATAAAAATATATAATAAAACTTAATTGTGTACTTACCTTTTAAAAAGACCACATTTATTCTAGTAAACTGCATAATCTAACACAATTTTAGCCAATGAAAATTTTCCTTCAATTTTCTTAGTCAGCAGAGCACACCCATGGTAATGACTTTAAAATTCCTTACTTTCTAGTTTTATTTTTTTTTAGAAACTGCCATGATCATACTGCTTGGACTACCACATCTTACTCTGAAACTATGATCACTTTAAATCAACTAACCATTTTTGTCAATATTAAGATGCCTCTTCTCTTATCAAGTACATGTATAGTCAGACTACTATTGCTGGCAGACATATTTAATGCTATCAAATTAAATGTCTTTAGAAAAATTTATGAACACCCTTTAATAATAAGAGAAAACACTGCACTAACACATGAAATTACCTGTGGATCTGGAGTTTTCCATCATCGTTCTCCAGTGGCAGATCCTCGCTTCCAGTCTTCATTACTTTTCAACACCGATTTAGTTGTTTTCATCATTTCATCGTTTCGGCCGGGAGCCGGTCGGCCGAGCGGACAGCACGCTGGACTTGTGATCCTGAGGTCCTGGGTTCGATCCCAGGCGCCGGCGAGAAACAATGGGCAGAGTTTCTTTCACCCTATGCCCCTGTTACCTAGCAGTAAAATAGGTACCTGGGTGTTAGTCAGCTGTCACGGGCTGCTTCCTGGGGGTGGAGGCCTGGTCGAGGACTGGGCTGCGGGGACACTAAAAAGCCCCGAAATCATCTCAAGATAACCTCAAGATAATCATGTTAATACTGTATAACCAATTTTCCTATACAGACTTCTCTTGCTGATAGATAGCAATTCTACTCACAAATGAAGCAGTATCCAAAGAAAACAATGAAAATCACATCTGTATCAAGAGAGGCATATAACACCGAGGTATATGCACATCGCAGAATAGGTCCACACTGTTGTAGGACTGCATTGTATCTTTGTACTGTATTGTGGGACAAGGAATGAACCCATTGAGAACTAACAGGTCCAGGCTAAAGTGAGGCTCTAGAGTATCTCGCCTGGAGATGGGAAAGAAGTGTGACACCCTCTAACATTCCTAGAAAGGTCCCCGAGATGGGACCAAAGAGCCACAGCTCAACCCCCGCAAGCACAACTAGGCAAGTACAAACCCAAGAGACTGAATGACAAGAGAGAAAAGGAACAATCAATGATGTTCAAAAACAAACACCCTGAAAAACTAAAAACAGTAGTATGTCAAAGTCATATGGAGAAGCCATAACAACAAGCCTGAAAATAGAAGCCTGAGAAAATCCCCCAGGCATTAGGGAATCCAGCTAACTGAACTGAACTGTCACGTAGACAGACAGGCATACCGAGTGCAAAGTGAGCATCTTGGTTGAACAAACCACAAACCCCAACCATAAAACACCTTGCAAGGAAAGAGATCACACTAACGTGATGCATCAAATGAACAAATCCACAAGGGCAGTGACGAGGATCCTCTTCACGGCCCTTGTGGATTTGTTCATAAAACACCTTGCAAGGAAAGGCCAAAGTTATCTTTGCAAAAGAACAATCGCATAAAGCAAAAATGAAAAGCTCCAGCACGCACAAGGAGCAGGACTAGACATGATCAGAGCACATGAGGCAACACATACACCTAACTTCTACACTCATCAATAGGCTTTGCAATGGAGAACATCCCATGTGATAGCCATAACTGAGGCTACTCTAGAGGAATCAGTTTGTAGAGGAGGCACATGTACCCCCTCAGAGTAGATATCTTTAGCAGGGCAAGGAAAACATACTGGCTACCAAGGAAGGAATCCCTACCCTACAGTTGGAGTGAAATATAAAGCAAGGGAATGTGCAACGTGAATAATATTTAAACCAGTTTGCCTTGACACGACTATAATATGCCACAGCACTTTTGTGATTACAGTCAAATTAAACTATATTGCTGTATTTTAACATTCTATTTTATTTTTTATTTTTTTATGAAATAACATACTGAATTTTGTTTTATATTACTGGCACTGAGTACAGAGTGAACATTTGAAGAGACTTCTTTATGCATACTGTACTTATTTTCAGTTAAAAAATATTTGATTTTTGACAAAATTCATGTTGGTTAGCAGCAAGGGTTTAGGCCAACTAGAAAATGTGCTATTAAATAAAAAAAAAAAAAAAAAAAAGGTTGAGAATGACTACCTTAGATGCATAGCAGCACTTTTTAAATTTAAGATAAAGGCATGCGTGTAGAAAGCTTTGAGCAGCTACAACAAATTAATTTTCAAGGTGCGGTATTGCTCAAGGTCATTTCCCCCCTTCCCACCCTCAGTCATTTTCAAATTATGAATTCAATCACCAGAATCCTTGGTAACTAGACAGATCCTCCATGTACCACTATACTGTACATAATTCTTGAAAGTTTCAAGCCTAAATGTGAAGGCATTCTCCAGACATTGCACAAGAATAGAAATTTGAAAAAAATAAATAACCAGTGTTGCATGTAATGAAACGCCATTTTCTGGGTGAGCCTCGGAGGATTCCTAGAGCTATCAGACTGATATTAACTATATTAGTCTGACCTGGAGAGCGTGCAGTGATCCTTTACTGCTAGAATCCACTCAGTAAAACATCTAAACTATTGGGACCGACTAAAGAGCCTAAAACTGTACTCCCTTGAGCGCAGGCGGGAGAGGTACATAATAATTTACACGTGGAAAATATTAGAGGGGCTGGTCCCAAACCTGCACACAGAAATAACATCACATGAGACCAGAAGACATGGCAGGATGTGCAGAATACCCCCGTTGAAAAACAGAGGTGCAACTGGTACTCTGAGAGAGAACTCTATCAACATCAGAGGTCCGAGACTGTTCAACACGCTTCCACTACACATAAGGGGCATAACTGGCCGACCCCTCACAGTGTTAGAGAGAGAACTGGATAAGCACCTCCAAAGGATACCTGATCAACCAGGCTGTGACTCGTACGTCAGGCTGCGAGCAGCCGCGTCCAACAGCCTGGTTGATCAGTCCGGCAACCAGGAGGCCTGGTCGACGACCGGGCCGCGGGGACGCTAAGCCCCGGAAGCACCTCAAGGTAACCTCAAGGTAACCAAGGGCCTTCAGTCATATGATGTTCTTATACCTACCAGGAACCACGAGCCAGAACCTGGTTCCCCTAGACCCTGGTTTCTACCAGTTGGGGGGGTCTATTTTTTGGGCACCTACCTTTCTGGGTGCCTAACCCCGGTCGATGGCAGACATGAATATGCTTTCAAAGAGTGGAGTTTTTATAGGTCTTCCTTCGCCTCTCTGAGGGAACCAGGTTCTGGCTCATGGTTCCCGGTAGGCATAAGAACTCCATATGACTGAAGTCCCAGACTAATATAGCTAATATCAGTTCAATAGCTCCAGGAAACCGATGGGGCTCCTCACAGAAAAATGAAACGATACACATTTTCGGTGGTCCATTCAGTAGCTTCCCATAGCTACAGAACTGGGGCTGCCAAACCTTAGGGAATCACACCTGGACTGAAATCTGGCTCTTTCTATGAGGTGAGGGGGAAGGAGGGCTCTTAGGGATTCGAGGTCAACTCGGGTGGAGGGGAAGGGGGATAGTAAGTGCATCAAAACAAGCATCTGCTTGAAAGAAATTAGTAACCGGAGAAAAGCAAAGCAGAAAATTGTTGCTACTTTTGGTGCTCTCCCAGAAAAAGACTCGGTGGTAACTACAGTATTATGGATCCCTTTGAAATTACATAATTACAGAGAACCCCAAAAAGTAGTTAAGAGACACCTTATTGTACTGTAACTGTATCAAACAATAAATCATCCACACATAAATATCTACATTAATAAAATACTAATCAAATCATATCCTGAAGTAAGGTTGTGGTATCAACTTACCTTTAAAATCCCATATTTGAAGATCTTGAACATTCTGATGAATAAAATATAAGTTCCCCAGTGCCTGGAACACAATACATAAGCCTTCAATGTTCAGTGGTATATGCATGAAAATCTTTATTAAGACATCTTAAAAGTAGTGAGGTAAGTGTTGAATAATTTAAAACTAAGTAGCAGCTGTTACTCCAGCAATCATACATTATAAACTGCATTACACCTTTGAAATATGAAATTAAATGAACCATTCAGTACTATAAAGACTAAAGTTATTACTGAAGTATACGGCAGTATACAAAGCCTAAAAATATTAACAATGCATGTAATACGATTAAGTATTTATTTATATATTTATTTACTTATTTATGTGCTCGTGTATTTAACAATACACGAGAGCATACAAAGATAAATTGACTTATTATATCACAATCTTAAAATTTATTATACTAGAACCTTCTACACCTACCCTCACTTAAACCTTATTTTTTAATTGGACAGTAACCTAATATCCAGTAAGTTCTTGTTCAATAACACAGCCAGTATATCCTGGGTTAATAACAGCCAGTATATCCAGAGTCAAAAACTTGGCCAATATGTCTTTTGCCATTGTCTAATAGTCAGGCAATTTCTTTGGATATGAAAGTTCTTCGACTTGTCTCAGGTGGACCTGGTTGCCTTGGAAACCAGAGGATTGTGTTGTACTCTGTGGTTTTGTTCCCTTACAGGGAAGCATTACTGTGGGATATTATGCATCTGGGTGAACTGGTGAGACCTCTTTCTACCTGCTCAGATACTGCATCTATGCCATGCAAAGTGGAGAGTTTTGTAGGCCACATTATGTTGACTCATGTATCCAGTTTAGCTCTCCTTTCTCATTGCTCTTCCAAGACCTTTAGCTCACCCAGGCAATTGGCAGTAGGTCTTGTGTAGACTTTTAATGTCTCGAGGCAAATCTGTGTCTGAAGTTCTTAGGGATGTTTGACCTCTGGCAGTATTAGAGGCAGGTGGTAGATCTGTTGGTGGTATATTTGCACGAGCCTCCTTCCCATCAGTATGAGGCGGCAGCTTGGTGTTTTTTACAGCTCTCCCTTTTTTTCTTCTTACCAGCATTTTTCCTTGTATGTGGCCCTCCTCATATTGTTTTTACTCTGGCTTTTTTCAAGCATGGTTGATGCTGAAATTTTTTTTGTATCAATCAACAGTTTCAAAACCACTTTTTATGGATTTTGGTTTGGATCTTTCATCTACCGTTTTTCTCAAGTTCAGCCATGTCTTTCTTTCCCCTCTTTCTTGCTAATCCTTCAGTGAACACAAGGATCACACTGAACAATCTGGTTGGTTATTCAATGTGGTCCTTGACTTATCTTCTTGGCCGTTTTGGATATCTCCTCCTCAGAGGATCTCATGATGAAGGCTGTATGCCTTCTGGTCCTGGTTCTAGTCATAGGGTTGGCAAGTTTTATGGTTTGCAGTGGTGGCTGTTCTTGTTGGTCTTTTGTCCAAATGATTACCCTTTGCAGTTGCAGCCTCCATCACTTTCATTAGCCACGAAAGGGTCTCCTGCTTTTTGAATGGTTCCATTCTCATTACAGTCTAGTTTATCCATTCATTTTTGCCCCATATTCTTATGTCCTACTGTTGCTTCCTAGGCCAGAATCCTCTTCCCTTACAGTAGCAAGAGAGCTAAGGGAGTTAAAGACACCATACAATGAGGGGGAAATCTGACAAAAACTCAGTCATAAAGAAATGTTTGCTATAAACAAAATTCAAAACTACAGAAGTCACAAACAAGCAAAAACCACCCTACTGTGCAAGGTTTCCATTTTTTACCCAAGGTAAAAAAAAAAAAAAAAAAGTGCACATGCAGCTGTAGACGCTTGGTGACAAGAGTACCTATCCAATACACAAAGAAATCACATAACATGATGTATCAATGATAAAATCAGTAGAAGCCATGATGAGGTTTTGAACCTACACACTGGGTACTCCACTTGCTTAGGGCATATGCTTGGAGTACCCAGTGTGCAGGTTTGAATCCCTCATCATGGCTTCTACTTATTTTTTTTTTACCTATCCAGCATTAAGAAAAGTAAATAGGATATGCTTCAGAAAATGTACGGTATGTAAATAAATTAGGCATAAAACAAAACACTCTCAAGAAGATGTTAGCCCATCATCAAGCGGGTGTGATGGGCTAGGCAGCACCAGGCTCCCTAATAGACCAGCGATGCCATCTGGTGGATGAAAAGGAAAACAGCCGGGTTGTTTTCCTTGGTTGTGAATAGTTCACTAGTTTTTTTTCTGGTATTTGCTTCTATAAAACATTTCTCTATGACTGTTTTGAGTTTTTGGCAGAGTTTTTGCCTCAGTGTGTGTGTGTGTGTGTGTGGTGTCTTTGACATTCTCACCTGCCTTGCTTCTGTGAGGGGAGAGGATTCTGGCTCTTGTCTTCAATAAGCCAATGGAAAGATAGTATTGGACGGACCTAGGGTGCCAGAATAAAATCACGAACAGTACTGTCTCCGCTCTATAATCTGAATTATACGGGGCCCACCACCAATAGAGTTAGCTGGACATTCAAGTTAGCAAAAAAAAAAATTCTGGAAGTTAAAAAATGAAAACAATTAAATTTACTGTATTTCCATTTTGTTTGGCAGAAATCTTGGTAACCCAATTTTTTGTTCATGCTGTGCAGTAAAAATATTGAACCTGAATTTATTCGGGTTTCCCATTCAGCAGAAATCTCAGTAACTTGAATTTTTATTCAAGTTAAGCAGACAAAAATTCAAACTCAAATTTATTCAGATTACCCAAAGATTTGAGATACCAGAATCCAGATTACCGAACTCTAACAGTACAAAGTAAAGCAAAACAATTAAAATTACCTATTTGGCTTTTATAATTATACTCACAGTAAATTTTTCAGCCGACTCATATTCCTCGTCTAGGAATACTCTGACCTTGTCATATGGTAACATCGTACCTCTGTTCATTAATGATCTGCGGGAATACAAATAAATACATTTTTATTGTTGTATAGAGTATTCTGCATATCTATCGCTATTACTGACTTCCAAACACAGGTACATACCTATTAATTTTAAATGGAGGAGGATAGTCTATACAATGTTACCAAAGTAATCTTTAAAGAAAAAAAGGAGGGGGGGAGAGACAATTTAAAGGCATGCCACAACACACAAACATACGCTCGCACACAGATATACATGGGAAGTACAGTATGTCCATCCATTCTATTAGGTATGTCTTAGTTCCAACATAAAGGGTATGCATTGCATTTAACCTTTGCAGTTACCTCTATACAGTAGAACCTCAGTGTACAAATTTAATTCCTTCCAAGAGATGGATCATAAACTGAACATTTGTACACCGATGTATAAGACGCACTTTATTTATTTTTAAATGTAGAAAAAATTACCCTGCATCTAATGCGGATGTATTACAGATGTGAGACCAAGCACCATAGGCTAGGGAGCCGGATGAGCATACATGTACTGGGTAAGTCTTCTAGGCACAAAAAATCGTTACTAATAATAAAATATTAACAGACTGTGATAACTTGGCTTGTTTTTATCACAAACTTACGAAAAATAGCTCATGATATATGTCGGCAGTTATGAAGGCGGCTCACAACTCACCACCTTACCCAGCATACATAACCCACACCTGTTATATGTCATACATTATTTAATGACTGTTACCTTTAAGAAACATTTATTCATTATCTAAACGATGAATGCTCCTAGAAATTTGAAAGGAATGTTAAACTTTCATCCACCTGTCAGCCATTTGCAATGAGTGAATGACAACAAAACCAGAGCACTGTGATGGAGTGCCACCATCGGGTGCGCTGCCCTGGTGGCCTGAAGCGGCAATACAAAACATCACATCCAAAAATACAAGTTTCACATCCTGTATAGCAATTCTTTTGCCCAAAATATAAACAACTGTACAGATGATCTTAGAGGAAGTAAGAGTTTTTGGTACAAAATCCACTTAAAATATATTAACTTAAAAATGCATTTTAGAGAGACTACTACTAATTTTTTTTTTACTATACCTTACCTTTATTGAGGACTCTTGTTGCTACAGATAGCCACGTGCTTTGTGAATGTCGTCTATCTAAAAATGCCAGTTTCCCGATTGGGGTTGGTTCGGATACTGAAGTTCGGGAAGCACAAGGTTGGCATAAAATGGTTCGGGAATCTGCCAAGCCTCACAGCCCAGGGTGGTGGGGGATGGTTGGGTGGGAGATGGGCCTAGTTTGCCCAATGACCATGTCGGCGCCACTCTAGTGCCTTCTACCTGTGACGTCACAGATTCACGGCCCATTGTTCCCATTATTTTGATTTGTTACGAGACTGGAGTGTTCATTCCGTGACTTTGTTGGATATATCGTCACAATTGAGTAACATCCGTGCACGATGTCATGTCCAAATGCATACATTATGTCAGTAGCAGCATCAACAAGCGGGATATGTAAAAGAAAGAGGTCAGTGATGACATTTGAAAAGAAAGGTGAAATAATTAAGAAGGTGGAGAGAAGAGTCCTGAGAAGTGTTGTGCGCGCTGATTATGGCATTAGCAAGAGTACCGTTTTTTAACATCTTAAGACTAAATCTATCATTTTGACTATTTCTCTAGAAGTGGAAGTGGTAAGGCAAAACGAAATAGAAAGGTAGTAAGTAAAGCAAAAGTGGAGACTGTTGATAATGCAGTGTGGCATTGGTACAAACAGAAGCGTGAGGAGTCGAAGAAGCCAGTGGCAGGCTGGCTGTTCATGGAAAAGGCACGAGAGTTTCACCAAGCTATGAAAATTCCTGAAAAGTGTTTATAGTGTGATGAATGGCTCAGAAGCTTTAAAATCCACCATGGTATTAGATTCAATAGGGAACATGGTGAAAGGATCTGTTGACACTACTGGTGTTGACAAGTATTTAAGTAAATTTGCAGAGATGGTGCAGGAACAAAATTTATCTCCAGAGCAAATTTATAATGCTAATGAGACAGGTTTGTGTTGGCGTATGTTACCCACAGACACGATGGGTCATAGTGGTGAAGACGATCCTTCAGGTGGTTATAAGCTGAACAAACAGAATTTGTGTGTTGTACTGTGCTGTGCAAATGAAGCTGGCACGCACAAATTGAAATTACTACTTGCGATTGGAATTAGCAAAAACTCCAGGGTTTTAAAGTCAGCTAGGTGCCTCCCTGTGATTTATAAGAACCAGTCAAGTGGGTGGATGTCTCGAGTGATATTTGCCGAGTGGTTTAATAAGAACTTTGTACCCGAAGTGAAGGAGCACTTGAAAAGTGTTGGCCTCCCGCAAAACAGCAAAGTTGTGCTGCTGCTAGATAATGGTGCAACGCATCCACGAAGTGATGAGCTAGTAAATGGCAATACTGTATCAATGGTATGTTCTTACCACCCAGTACAATGTCACTGATCCAACCCATGGATCAAGGGATAATTAAGACTCTTAAGCACCACTACAAGAAGATGTTTGCTAAAAGTCTTAATAATCAGCCAGGAACAGTTAAGGACTTTTTTTTAAAGTCCTTACAATAAAGTCAGCTATCTGGACTATTGCTAGTGCATGGGACGAGATAAAGCAAACAGCACTAAGAAATGGTTAGAAAAACTTTGGCCTACATCAGGTCTGTTTTGCGAGGCTACCTTGAGGCTACCTTGAGGTGCTTCCGGGGCTTAGTGTCCCCGCGGCCCGGTCGTCGACCAGGCCTCCTCCAGGAAGATGACAAATTTTGATGACAAAAAGATGACAAAAGATGACAAAAATGATGACAAAAGATGACAAAAGATGACCAGGAAGATGACAAATTTTCCGTCATTTAAAAAAAAAAAAAAAGTTTTGATCATTATATAACAAAGAGAATTGGGAAGCCAGGACACCATAAACATAGCTCATATAACGTAACTGCACTTAGGTATTTACACACAATATACACCATATATATTCACTATCTTCTCAAGACACAAATACACATGCCTGTACTTACATAAAGATGAAGTCACACAGAAACCTAACCTAGCTAACACGAACAAACATCAAACATTCATTAGGCTAATATTCACACAAAAGGAAGGCCAAGGTCATGCACATATAATGAAGCATATGAGGACAGAAATGCAAGTGCCAGACAGCACGAGGCCCCACCTGACGAAGTGTTCCACATGCTGCATGCTCTCCTCATAGTGCTTGCCTCCAACCTCCTGGCAGTGGAGCGCAATGAAATGCGGCTCATGCTCCTCAACAGTCTGCAGCACAAATATTAATAATAATAATAATAATAATAATAATAATAATAATAATAATAATAATAATATTATTAAAAATCATAATTAGCAAATTTAAATCAGTATATACGACTTTAGGGTCAGAGAGACAGACAACAATTTACTATCTTAATTTAATGGCAGAAGCTACCAACTGGGATAAATATCAGTTGAGGAAAACCAGTACAGTACTACTAATTGTTAATACAAGCACAGTACAATAGTTTTTACATAAACTTATAAAATAGAAATGCATTAAATGAAAAAACTGGCAACCTTGCATGCGTTCACTATATTCTAGAAGAACTAATGTACACAATATAAGAAAATTAGAGCAAGACCCATAAATCCCATGTGGTTTTAATTAAAGCCTGCCAATACTTAAACTCTGGACACATGTAACAATTAGGTCCGGTCATTTGTAAAGGAGATGAGCTTACTCTGATCAAATTGATTCTTAAACTAAACAGGTTACCATTATATCAAAGGAGGTATCTCAGGTCCTTATGCCAGACATATCTCACACTGCAAACACTAAAGATGCCTCTCCTCTCCTCACTCTGATGTACATATATTTTAAAATATGGTCTTACAGAGGGAGAGAGTATGAGTGTGGCGAGAGTTTGTAATTAATGTGGTTGAAGGGAATAGGCATACGTTGGGCATGGCTGGGATGGGGCTCTACTTGCAACTGATTTCAAAAGGTTATAATCATGTAATTCAGCATGGAAAACCACACTTTTCTAGTGACAAGTATCACAGAATGACTGTAGCGGGCAGCAACCCAAAGACCCCCACAGCCATCATAACCCTGCTGATTCAGCACTTTCTGCAAAAACCTGCTTAGTTTCCTCTTCTAAACTTCAACCAGTTTTTCAGCAATATTTGCTAACCTTCTGTAGGAAAGTTGTGGGCCTGGAATATTCATATTTTTGCCAGAAACGCTATGCATATTAGTGGCTTTAGGTATTTTATGTACTACTGTAGCTCTATAAATCCAACAGTATGTTTGTAACTACATCTATGTATGTACTTTTCCTAAATAAAATATTATTATTATTATTATTATTATTATTAACATTTTCATTATATTACAATAATGTCTTCTCTGCTGGAGCTAACGGTGCCTCTAATTTTCACTGGGGCTATTCTATATTTCCTACTATAGCTTTCACTTCAAAATTTTTTAATTTACTGTGCAACTTGGAGACTTAACCTTCACATGTTTGCCATGTACAGATTATGTGATCTCTCATCTCAAGTCAGAGAATAAATTTTGTATTTGCTCTCAGTAATTTAGATATTTTACTATGTTGATGTATGTTGTACACCAGTGTGGTAGGGAGATTGGGGTGGGGTTGGGTGGGGCGGTTGGCACTTTGGGTTGTTTAGGGGGGTAGGGGGATTAGGGGGTAGTGGGGGTTCAAGGGTTAGGGGAATTGAGTGCATGTGTATTTTACTACCTAATTGTAGTTACAGGATGAGAGCTATGCTAGTGGTGTCCTATCTTCCCTACACTCTGTCATATGACACTGAAAGTGCTGAAGGTTTTGGCATCTGCCACCTCACTTAAATTATTTCAACCATCTACAATGCCATTCACAAAAGAGAAGTGAATGAAGTTTCTTCATTCACTCTGAAAGAAACTCAGAAGTTTCTTTTTTTACACCTTTGTTCTTACAGTCTGCATCTATGGTTTCTTACTCTAGAGTTGCAGGTTTTAACAAAATTTTACTATTTGTTGATTCCTGTCACAATTTTGTACTTGAAGATTACATTGCATCATCTCCTCCTATCTACTAGCTTTGGCATACTTAAAAGCCTAAAATCTCTCATCATAGCTCTTAGTTTTCAGACCTTAAAGCCATTTGGTACAACTTTACTAGATCCCACCAGAGGTTCCGTGCATCCGATGTTGCACCCGATGTTGAAACGACCAGAGGTTCCGTTCCTCCGATGTTGTGGCCAGAAAAGTACGGGGGTGATCTATGCCGTAGCCTGGTGGCGGTCAGGTCTATCACAGTTAATGTTTTTACACTGCGGCAACTATCTTTTTCTTGTTGCCTTCATGTACCTATAGAATTGTAAATACTGTACCTACAGTAATTAAATCCTCACATTTTCATCATGTAGATAGATAGCTACTGCTTTGCGTTCAATGTTTCACCGAAACTCTACAGTTCGTGAGTTTAGAACTTCAGCAACTAATCTACCAGAAATGCTACTTTCTACTCTTACAATCGTGCCATCTTTAAGAAGATAAAAAATCACTACTAAGGATAAAAGTATCAATTTGTTTTTTGTTTTTTATTCCAACAATATACCCATGGTATCCACAAAAGTAAGTTACTAATTACTCTTAGGCCTGACCCTTGTGGATATAGTATATATCCCAATAGATAATCACCAAATTCCAGGTAAAAAAATTCACCCCCTCTCAATATATATAAAAACTTAATCTGATCATATTTAAGAGCTGACAACTCTGAGGGATGGCCAATAAGTGTGCAGTTTCAATGTGAGATCAAAGCATGCCTCTACTCTCATTGTGTTCAAGATGATTGGGCTCAGTAATGTACCTTGCTCCTGTGTGATGTTGTGTACTGCTGCTTCATTGTAATTTTCTCTACCTGTATGCTTCTTTGTACTTGTACTGAAATATAAATAAGTAAGTATGTAAATTTTTCCTCTTTTCCCCCCCGTCAAATTAATTCATTTACTGCTGTTGCAGTACAGACTTGTAATAAAAATAATGACTAAATGGAATAAAAACAATTTGGTAAACCCCAATTAATTATCAATCATTTTTATTAACAAATGTGCAATTTACATTAATTGGCCATCTCTCATTATTATGATTATTATACTGTATTATTATTATTATTATTATTATTATTGTTATTAATAATAATATTGTCATTGTTGTTTATCTCATAAAAAAATCGGGGAGTAAATCACCACTTCTAATGATCACAATAAATCACAACTTTTAAATCATGACTGATTTTTTAATGGTTTCCAAAGATTGGAGCAAAATTAAAAGTAGTGTTTGATTTTGAATTGTTCGATCACTGTTTGTTTATTTTCATTTTGAATTTTGCATGAAACATTTATAAATGTGCGATAAATTAACAAAATACGGCAATGTTTTGGAAATACAGTGGTTCCTTCGTTTACAATCGTAATCCGTTCCCAGAAACGTGTCGTCAACCAAAACAAATTTTTCCATAAGAAATAATGTAAATTAAATTAATCCGTTCCACACCCCAAAAAATATTACCTTAAAAATACATTTTATACCAAATAACACTCATTTTGTACTAGCTTTAATACAGTATGTACATCTTACCTTGAATGAGGACTCTTGTTGGCATATGGAAGACAGTGAGGAGGAAAGGGAAGAGAAGGGAAGGAGTGTGTTACTGTTTGGAAGGGAGAGTCCCCTTCCATTATAACATCAGGCAGTGATGACTTTTCTGGGGTACTCTCTCCTATGTTTTGCCTGTATACCACTAGGACCTGCTGGTGGCTCACTGCTTGTTTTGTTTTTTTTCATTAACCCTTAAACAGCTAACTGTTAATTAGCTGACATCCCTAGAAAAAAAATTCTGATTTTTTTCTTGTGACACTTAATTAGCCTTCAGGAAGCACAAAAATCCAAACAAAAAGTCTCTAGCTCTTGTGGTTTAGCTGTAGTGGCCTGGAGAAGTTGCATATTTTTAGGTAAAATGGGTTGAGGTGCCACATAGGAATAACTGTTGATTTATTTTCATTGTTTCTCACTTTATTTATTTAGTTTTTTCACGCTAACAGGTTGTATTTGTGTCAAAGGTACTGTCTATTATGTATAACTTTGAAAATATAAGTACGTATGGATATATGAGTACTGTATAGTGTCACAGTAAAATCTCTAGGAAGAGATTTGACCTACTCCATTATCGCCTATTCTACTCATTCACGTCTATGTAATCAAGAACTGCAGCCAACAACAACTACTACTACTTCCAGATGGCTAGACAATAGCACCAGTCTCCCTCCTCTACCAGGGCCCGTCACCCCACCTCGCACCTGGGGTCGCTGTGAGGCCCCGACCCCTTCCAAACAAGCAGTTAAAGCAGCCGGTTCATAGTTTAAAGGAGACATCAGCGCCCTCTGCTCGGCCGATATTCTGTATATGTAGGGCAACCAAGCTCTCTAAGATTCAGACTACTCTTGTGTGCTCAACTGAGTAGACCTGTTGACACATCTCGGTGTGGTAACGGATTTAATCAGACTGGCTCATGGTATTCTGCACCATATATTATTTTGCTCCTTAACGTAATGTAAATTTGATTATTCATCTTGTTTGTTTTGCACATTTTGTATTAAAGCCAAGCCTGGATATTTTTTTGTAATTTGTTTAATTTATTTTTAAAGTAAAGTATTTTTAAATGTTTTTTCCCTCTGCTTTATCCTA